GTAATACATACATAGTGATCCTCGGTCGTAATGTTGGTGAACCCAGCCTTCCTCATTCCGTTCTCCATCGCGCCGGAGGAAACTACCATGACGTTAAGCCCGGTCTTCCGCTGAACCTCTCTCCAAATGGGACCCCATTGGGCCATAGCGGAATCATGAGGCATCGTCTCGTCATAGCAGAGAAAATCAGCGTCGGTATCAACGTGTTCGATCCAGCCGCCTGGCTTGCAGCACCGGTAAGCCTCCTGATACAGGTAATCCCAATCCCTGATAACCCCGGTGAGCCAGCGAATGTGGATGAAGTCGAAATGATTCTCATGGTAGGTCCACTCCCTGGATGCATCGTTAATCTCGAAGCTGGCGTTTGGAGGTACCCAGCTAGGTTGAATAGGGGAAATGTCGGTGCCAATTACGTTGCAGTTGGGATGATCGTCCGCAAAGTCGCTATAATCCATCAAATAGGATGTCAGTAGGTACCTAAGTACCTTTAATCAGGGATCGACCCAGGACACCTGACAGGTTGGGTAGGTAGGTAGGCAGTCTTACATGGCCCAGACTCCTGCACGTAAGGAAATGCGCGTGGTCAGTAAAGTTGCACGAGTAGAAAGGACATGACTGGAAAAGATGGCGGTCCGTAGGTAGCGGGTAGATCAGCTTGCTTCCACTTACCAGTGCCGGTACCGATATCAATAGCATTCTTAATCTCCTTATCATTGAGCGGAGACGTATACAGCTTTCCATCGAACAACATAACCATGGCCGCGTGCATGATGTCCAGCAACTCATTTGCCTTGTCATCATTAGGGCCCCTAAAAAGTAGACGTAGTAGTCCATATGGACCAGTGGTTAGTTCAGCTCTCCAACATCAACGCCCGGGTACAACACTAAGTAGGTAGGTCGTTTTGCTAAAGGAATGTTAGGTAGGTAGGTATCCATCCAATTTAGACGTACCAGTACTCTCCGTCAGTCACAGAATCGCTGTGGTAGGTTCGTCCTAGGACATTACGGTAGTGCAAGATGCTGGAAGCGATCGAGGCGGTCGAGCTTTCCGTGTCAACTCCCAAGGTCGAGTCATTGTCTTCATCCACTAATTCCTACGCGTGTACAAAAGACATTTTGTTAGCATCTAACTTTTTTTCCCTTTTCTTTTTTTTTTTTTTTTTTTTTTTTTTTTTTTTTTATCTATTCATTCAAAAGTGATGGATGGAAATGTGTGTAGTAGGTAGTGTAAGTAGATGAAACGAACCTGCTGGCCCCAATGGGAACCGGCCATAAGGGCGACAGGCTCCGAAGGCTCATTGTGTACTGGAGACGTTGGAATAGGCGTAGGCGATTTGTCCTTTCCCGTCGGCGACGCAGGGCCAGGCGTGGGCGATTTGTCCTTTCTGGCTGGCGACGCAGGGCCAGGCGTGGGCGACTTGTCCTTTTTAAAGAAGGAACTCATTGTCGCGGAAATGGAAGTATGAATTGAGTGGTTACCTAGGTAGGTACCTCTTGTGAACTGCAAACGGAATGTTTGGCCAAAGTCGATGCTTCGTGTCAATCTTCAGGTGCCAGAGGTCCAGTACCTCCCGTTTATATAGGTAATCGTACCTAGAATTTCTCGTCACCTACCTAGTTACCCCTCCTCGATGAAGTCTCTTCCGATGCATGGAGCGGTCAGGGACACCCGGGCTAGAGGTAAAAGTGACCTCCTTCCTTTCGAACTGTGTGCTTCGGTTACCTCTTTGGTTACATTCGTGCTGACTCGCCACCAGAGACCTCCCGGTACCTCTGGGATAACAGCAAGCACGCAGCCATGCTGTCACAACGACATATAATTCAGTGTTAGTTGACACGTAGCTCCTTGTACCATGACTGTGGACATTTGCTGAATCAAGAGTTCCATTGGCTGCAATTCATGTCAGCTAGGGTACCTCTACCGAAAATGGTGGGAAAACACAGTAAATGGGCGAGTGGATAAACGTTGCAATACGCTTGACAACCTGGAAACTCCCACAGGAGACTGGGGAGAACATGCAATACAACACAATATTACACGTATAGCACTCTAGAAGCCAAAAGAAACAGAGCATAGGCCCTGGCACCGACCTTCCATATTACTCCTCCACAGAAATTGTTATCATGCTATCAGCCACTTTTCAATGACTGCAGCAATGCAGATAAGCACGCATCTCATTCAATAGATGATGTTTCTCCCCGGTCTCGACCAGGCTCTCCAGTTTCCGTGACCCGGCAAGCATTGAACGATGATGATAAACAGGTTATGTAGTCCGAGACTAGTTGACGCCATGCTGAGTCTGATCCTAGGAGAAGCGTCAGTTTATTTGAAGGTCAACCAGGATTGTGTAGACGGACTTTTCGCCTGATGGACAACATAGGTATCCAATGCTGCTGTTTCAACGTCCCTCTGGTGAAGCGTGCTCATACTAGCTTCATTGTGCGTGGCTTACACTTGGGAAATATCGCCAATGACCGCCTATAACGAATCATTCCAACCCCCACTCGGCTATAGCCATCTTCGGGGTTCACTCCCTCTCTTAGAAGAAGGCCGTAAACATGGAAACTAAATACAATACCTAGAAAATATAGTTTACCCTTGCTAAGCGACGAAACCATATCCGCTGCATCGAGACTGACTTCCCCGACTCGAACGCCATCCTTGATCAGACCAACAGACAGGTCAGCATGTGGGCCCATGACCCGATCGCTAATATCAACGTTAAACAGTAGAGCACCGCTAAGAACAAGGGCTCCGTATTTAAGCGCACCATACGGGTCCTGATACTTGGGGATTCCCACCATCTGCTCAACCGTGAGACGTTGAGCAATCGTCCTTCCAAAGGAGAAATTGAGATCCGGCGGTACTTTGACCGACGCCCGGACCAAACTAAAGTCCACCGGTGATGTGACTGATGCCCAGGACCAGCTCGGGGCTATATAGGAAGATTCCGTGTCATTTTGATGCGCAAGCTTGGTAGCTTTTGACCGTTGCGGCACGGTTTTCCAAAGGAGGCCTTCGGGGATAAGCGAGCTCCATATCCCACCAACATATGTGGCCCCTTGATAGAACTCCTGCGCCGCTTGTGCTATCCCGGACAGCGCAACCAGTCTGTCGCTTTGTTTTGTCAACAATCGTGCCGAATAATCCTCCACGATATCGTCCCAGGTTGCCTTGCTCTTAAACAGTCCCTTTGTGTCGCCCAGAGGTACCCTGTATATAGATCTGGTGGTGGATCTTTCGATGTTTTCCCATGGCCGTTGTGAAGTTGCGCGAAGCTCGTTGCACTCCCAAAGCAGCCCTTGACTGGCAAACGAGATGACTCTTCTCGAAAGCTCTCTCTCTTGTAACGTCCAGGCGCGACTGTTAAGGTGTCCGACTTCGATAGATCCGTCGTCAAAGAAAGGCACTTCGAAAACCCGAAGTCGCTGACGAGGGAACTTCGTTTCGCCTTCTTCTGGTCCGTAGAAGTCGATATCAACAAAACGGTTGGAATAAGAGCTCTGAATATCGGCAACCATCTTGCAACCTCCACTGCTGTCTTTGGAGTCAAGCGCTGCGAGTGTAAAGTAAGAATAGCTGTAAACAGAAGCCATCAAGGCGGCTTCCTTTGCCCAGTCTCCTTCATCGTCCTGGATGATACATAGGGAATCGATCCACAGAAATCTCTGCCTCAGGGAGCGACATATTTTTACAGCGTCCTGAAACGTCTGTGGGAGCTTTTCGAAAGGGATTCGCGTCATACGACCGCTCAGAGTTGCCTTTGTTGTAGTGAGCGGCTGTTTTGAGGGCGGTCCCCAGCAGTGGCTCAAAGTGACATATTTAGGCGGTTTTCCGTCAAAGAAGAGGTCATCTGCTATGCTGGTGACTAGGCGGATATCTTCGCTGTCGGAAAACGCCTGGAGGTCGAGAATTCGGGTAGGTAAAAAACACTCAATGTTGCTAGAGCATTGAGTATGGTTGTCTCGACAGTTTTTCAGCCAGACCTGGATAAGTTGAATATTGTCCACATGCTCTCCCATTTTGACAGGCTGTAATGCAGCTGCACAGAAAACAGTTGTCAGTGCCAAAGACTGAACGAAAAAGATGAATGCTGGAGGAAGAAGCCTAGCCTGCTTAACTCGAAGTTAGAGTGCGCGACTTACACCAAGGAGATGGGACCAGGGAGAAGCCAAAATCCCGCGGATTTTTCATGCGATAACCGTGATCCTGTCCGCGCAGGGTATCCTCACGAAGTGTTAGTAAGGAGGAGCGATCCACGTCCATGTCTTCAGGCATGGCATAAAAAGCATTTCTTTTCAGCTCAAGAGTTTTGTGATTCCCTGACTGAAAATTAGGATCACGGTCAAGGCCCATCAGTAGGATCGCGCATAGCTGGCATCCTCTTTGTGCTTCAAGTCGTATCGACTCCAACGGCTGAAGCTTAACGCCTATATTTCTTGACTCGTCTGACCAGAATGACGCCGGGATTGACGAACAGATCCTGCAGAGCTTGCTACCTGGAAAGTCCACTCTCTTTGGAGAATACGGGGATGCAGAGATTTCCATTTCGAATCCTTGATGCTGGAGCAAGAGCTTTTGTCAGACGAAGTAACTCTTCAATTGCTTCCTATGGCAGGCATAGATTCAGTGAAGGAGAAAAGTTGCAACTTACCGCCTGGACTGAGTTTTCCCACGTGAAGATGCAGCAAAGGAAAGTCTATAAGCTTTCTGACTGCGACGAGGCTCGATAAACATTGAGCTTGACGGCGGTTAGCATGGAATTGCCTCCTGGCCCTTGATTCTTGTCTGCCTGGCCTTGAAACCCCGCTCCTCACCCACCGTTCGGCAACCAGACCCATACTCAACACGCCACTCAAGCATCGCACCCTTGGTGATCCAGGACCTAAGTTCAGGTACTATTCCCTAATTTGAGACTTGCGTCAACGTCAATACTACCCTACCTGGTAGTCCTGGCTCGGCTGGGTAACATTGACACAGATTCCGATTGGGCTGTTGAAGATGGTTACCTCTACTTTTCACGTGCTCTGATACTTGTCAGTGAATGGAAAGTAGGCATGATAGGTCAATTGGCGCTGAAAAGGAGAGAAGATATAGGCATGCCTGCCTCGAAAAGGAAGAGAAAGAAAAGATCTCATGAGTGATCATGACGAAGATGAGTGTACCTCTGCTTTGCGGGCCATGAACTTCTGTCTGCCAGTGCTCAAACATCGTAGGCTTGGAGATCAAGTACTTCCGCTCTTTCCCGGAGAAGCCACTGAGCTCAGCGCTTCATGTGAGGTAATCGCGTTGGAAAGCACCCAGGAAGGCTGACCGGTTTGACGACGACGACATGGTGATTTTGAGAATGGACTCCTTCGCGAATTCGAAGATGGAAACACGGACACCAAGGAACATGAAAAGTACGAGCACAAATTACTCTTCCCTGATGGAGTCTCGTTATTAGGGTTGGGTAGTGCAGGTCAGTGTGGGAGTGACTGGACCGCGAGAGGGCCGAGAAGGGGGAAGTCCTCTCAACCGGGTCGTAGGTTGACAACTGTAATGCGACGCCATGAGTTGCAACTGCATTGACAGTTCGTCTGACGACAGGAGAGATCGAAGATGCATGCATGATATAAGGTACCTACAGGTACCTCTACAGGTATCCAGTTTACTTGCTGTGTAGGTAGGTAGGTACCTCTACAATCAACCTGCAGGTGGTTCGTGATTCCTGAAAGCGCTGCCAAGGTGACGAATATGCAAAGCAATGACCTGGGAAGCAGTCGTCGCTTCCTTCCCTACCTCTAACAACCGCTGCCAAGCGAAGCAACGACACTGCTCCGCCGCGGCATTTGTTTTCACACTATCACGACCTCTGCGGATTCTGCTGTACTTCAGATAAAGCACTATCTCGTCCAAGTCAACGAACAAATACACAGCGGATAAGAAAAAAAACGAGAACCAGCGACTTCATCTTGAACAGTGAGCACGTTTCTTCCAAAGCTGTAACCCCTTCTTTCGAAACTAAAGAAATCCAACTTGCTAATAGTACCAATGTCTTATGAAGGAATATCCTGTCCTTGCCATCCCGTCTGTTTGTTCAATCACCTCAGCGAACATGAACCAGAGCCGTGACAACGCATACCTGAGTGAACAAAATAAATCCTCCCCTTCCAGTCCGGCCTTATAAGAAAATGCCCCCTTCACACTGAGTAGAGGTACTAGACCCCGCCAGCCATACATGAATGAGATATAACCCAGTTGATATCCTTGTTCCAACCGACCGGTAGGATAGATACACCAGTCCACGCAGTCTGGTAAATCAACCCACCTCTCCTTTCCGTATGAATTGACCTACGGGCCGTGCTGCCAGCCAGCCCAGACACCGTGCCATTCGGAAGGGGAATCAAGGTACAAGGTACCTTAGGCAGGGAGCGCCTAGACTACCTAGTCGACGTCCTCTTCCGCCTGACTCCCACTTCCACCTCCAGTTACCTGTAGACCTCCCTCATTGTGGATGACAGTGGCGAGCGAGCCAGCCTCACTCGAGCCAGCCTCACTCTTGGCGTAGATTGATTGGGCATCACCAGTCTGACGTGGGTTTCCGCAGTACATGGGTTGTAAATCTTTAATCTCACCCGTTTCCTTGTCCATATACCTGGCACAGCCGAGAACAGGATACCATTCCAAGAGGGCCAAGACCTTGACGTGTTCGGGATGGGCTTTGCAATTAAGTCATGTGTTAGTGAAGAGTCCCCGTCAATGATGAACAGTGTCCGCTAGCTAGAGGTACTAGCTAGAGCAAAAAGTATATACGCCACCGGGTTGGAAATATAGGGAATTTGGACTTTCCCTTGAAGAAGAGGCAAAAGAATAGGGACGGCCTATAGGGACTTACTTCGCTGTTCGTTCCAGGTTACCCCATCCTTCACCTCAATATGAATCTTGGTAACCTCATCGATAGGCACATTGTTGATTTGGGGTGGCTGTCCGGGTTCAGTAAGAACACAAATGGCTCTAACGGTCATTTCCAGTCTGTAGGTGCCGGCTTCGGGGAAGTGGACGTGGCGGAGCAGAATATATCGACAGAAGCTCTGGTCAGGCGGGTTGATGTCGGCAGGAATGCCATTGAAGTTGAAATCAGGATTCCAATTGTCGTATGAGAACTCCTCAGTGCTTCGCCGCACGCTCTCGCCATTAGGGCCAATCTTCCAGATCACAGCCATGCAAACAACATTCTGGAATCCGGGGAGGTCAGGTTTCGGTCGGACTTCGATGACGCCAAAGTATTTGATCTTTTGTCTGGTGCCCACAACGTGGCCGCGCTCCTGGGAGGGCGGACCAACCAGCCAATGGACTTTGCAGGGTGCATTACCCTCGCCTGCCACTGGCTGGAACTTGTCGTCTATTCCTCGAGCCATTGTTTGTGAGTGTTTCTGGTTAGGGCACGAGGTGTTGTTACTTCCAAGCGTTGAAGATGTGGTGAACGATGCAGTAGAAAGTGGTGTTTTGCTGATACTTTGGAGTCAGACATCCCCTCGACGGTGTTCTGCCACCCTTTTATACATGAACAGTAGCCAGAGAAATGGCACCCCAGACTGAATACATTCGCTCGCAACTGTTATGGACCAACGCGTTAGTTGGCATGATGACCATGGTCCTAGGAAGACAAACGGACGGATGGTTGGAGATCAACGACTTACAGAATGTCGGTAGAGGCGCGAGACAACACCATGGTGATGACGGAATGGGATCCTTTCCTCAGATTATCGTAGATGTGGTCGTTGGTGATGAGCCCTTTGTATAATGGGAGGAGTGCCGGTTGGTACTCTAGGCTGGACATGTGATAGTAAATCACCTCCACCAAGGGCTTGGAGGCCGTTTGGCAAAGAGACACCAACAGTGTCTGACCAACTCCAAGGATTCTTACCGTTGATGTGGTAATATATCGAGATACTGTCTCTTCCTTCATCGCTTGTCCGACATATGCTAAGCGCCGAGTATGAACCACCCTGCTTGGCATCCATATCATTGGTATCGAGTGCCCATCTGGACTGTTGGTCGGAATTTCCCTAGATATTAGGTGTTTGCCGTGTTGCCGAAGCCATAGATTGGATGTAGCCAAGATACCATGTCTTGAGTAGAAACACTTCGCCGTAAGCACAACTTGTGGACTACCAACATCTTTCTTCACCTCAGCATGTCAAAATCGACAGAAGAAGCCATCCTTTGTCCCGCCCCAAGTTCCTGTTGGATCTCTGTGTAGATCACGCGTACGAGCGTAGGCTGGAAGGGAAGTGACCTCCCTGCCGACATCTGCCACCTTTGACCATGACTAGGGTACCCAGTTATTGTCGAAAGATACCTCAGCCTAAGCGGCTTTGAAACATGTCGAGGCGGCTCTGGGTTCCATATGCTGATTTAAACGTGAAACCCCCAAAAGAAGTTGGCACAGAACTGCCCCATACTTCTGGCGTCGACAGTGTCCCGACTGAGGTACCTCAAGGAATGTTTGCATCCAGTCACGGTCCGCACCGGCTATTTCGCACGGGGTTACGCCACTTCAGTTGCCGCGGCACACGAGTTTGAAGAAAGACCACCATTATTGATACGAAAAAATGGTTGATGTTTGCGTCCAGATCTGGATGAGCTGCTTGTACTGAGTAACGGAGGTGCGGTGTCTTTGATAAGATCTTCCCGGCTGGTTGGTTCGACGAGGACATCAGGTATGCTGGTGTTGAAAATCGCTCATGATGTTGACGGCCAAAACACGTAGGCACTAAAGATGGCTTTTTTTTCCCCTGCTGTACAGTAGTCTCGGTACCTAAGCAGAGGAAGGGTGTGTGAGTGACGACAAGAGGAAGATACCCCCGGGATAACTCAACCGGGTCGTTGGCGGCCATGATGGTGAGTCGCAACTGCACAATGGTCCGGTTGGTGTTTATAGCCTTTTAATTACAACTAGAATACGGAAGCCATGAGGAAGGACTGATAATATGAACCCCTGTGGGGTGAAGAAGGAACATCCGGTGATATGGCGACGTCGAGAACGGACGAGATGAGAAAGAAGGAAGGAGGTTAGGGTTGTATGTCCTGCCGGGATGTTGGCGCACAGACCCTCTCTAAGGCCGCCGCTGTGCCAGCACCCTGCCGTTTAGGGCCGTCAAAAACTTGCACTAACGAGCGCTCGCCATCATAGCGGGCAAATATGCTAGCTTCTGTTAGAGCGAAGCCCCGAAAGAACGGATGCCATTTCTTGCCCGATTGTTCTCGTCGACCTCCAAAAGTCCCGTCGTGCTTCCATTCCTACTTGGGGGTCGGACACCAGATAACTCGCAATGTGGAATCTCGTGGTTAAAAATCATGAAAAATTCGGGGCGCTCTAGAAACGCCAATGCTATAAGCAAAAGACACCACAAAACATGCGGAATTACATACATTGCCGCCAATATCAAAGATCAGGACCGAGAACCTTGATCGCTGCTCAACTCCTTCCTTCGCTCGATCCAACTATAACACCGGAAAAAATCTTCACCAAAATATGCCACGACCTGATATGCTTTGGCGAT